CCAAGGTTTAGCATGTCACTTAGAGCATCTCACTGCTCTTTGGGGCTACAGCTTCAGAGTCCTGAATCCTCATTTCTGGCTGACAGCAAATACATCTGAATGTTACTGGTAGCTCATTAGCCACTTGGGAGCTGTACGTAGGGAGAGATCTGCAAGGTGTCCCTAAAAGCCCAAAGGCCTGCCTGTATCCACAGAGTACCAAGGCACAGATTACTTCTTTGGAAGTCCAGGCAGAGCAGCAGAGTGTGGTCAGAGCTTTGTGGGTGAGACTTGATACACCTTTGTTACCAAGTGGACAAGGCAATGTGTCAGTGGTCAGGTGTCATGTAACTGTCCCCAAGGGAGCAGAGCAATGGGCTGTTGGATTGTCACTTCCTAATTACTCCAATGTCTAATCACAAGGTGCTTTGGCACAGCTTGGCTGTGCCATTCCAGAATCACTCATTCCATGTGAGATGCTCCATGCCAACTTCCAAAGTTACTCATTTTCAATATCATTTTAGGTGGCCATAAAGAAAATCAATCTTCAAGGACTGAGGAGGAAGCAATTAACTGTTAATGAAATCATGATCATGAAGAGTTATAGGAGTCCCAGTGTTGTGAATTATTTAGACAGGTGAGTGATCATGGTCTTATCCCATCAATATTTGTTTCCATAATACAAGCATAAGAAGTTAAGAACCTGCTTTGGCCACTGGCAGAAAATAGAGCTCTTAATTATTGGTTAATTATTATTTCTCTACTTATCTCCAATGGGTGGGAAGAGACTGTAGTTTGTCTGCAATCATCTACCTTGGTAAAGACAGTTTGAAAATTGTTCAAAAACCTGCATCAGCCCTATCTTAATAATTCAAAACCCTGTATGTTCATTGCATCTGCATTTTCTCGGGATTGAGTTTTTCCAGTTTCTTAAATGCTGATGATCCATCCTAGAGAGGATTTCCCTTGGATTGTTGCCCCTCTTTCCCATTACTGTGCATGCCAGGAAGACTAGGTGCTTATTTCCAGAAATACCATGCGTGGCAGCTTTTTTATCTGGGCTGTTACATACATGCCTTTCTCCTTGAGACAGCACAGACTGCAAACACTGCACAGTCCAGAGGCAATTTTCCTTTTATTCTGTCCTTGTAACAAAGGGATCCAGAAACAAGAATCAACTGTTGTCTTTTGAAACAACAACGTAGTCATGCATGTTCATCTGCATGGCCTTGTTTCCTTCTTCTTTCAGCTACCTTGTGCATGAGGAACTCTGGCTGGTGATGGAGTACATGGACGGAGGCACTCTGACTGATGTCATCAGCAAGACGTACATGTCTGAAGGAGAGATTGCAGCTGTCAGTCGTGAGGTCAGGGATCCCACCTGTGCTTCCAAGTGCTTGAGCAAGATTGTCTGGGAAACTGGGGCTCAGAATGGGAGTGATTTCATGTGCCAAGCTTGGTTTCTGTCTTGCTGGTATGCTATGGGCAAGCAAGAGCCTTTCAAGTGAACTGCCTGCCAGTGTCCCTGCACTCACTCTACTCACTTCTTGTACTCTTATGTCCTTCTGTTGTATTCTAGTTCTGTTGTTTCTATTTGGATTTTCTGTTCTCCACCCTGCCTATCTAAACTTTTGCCTGTCTGCACTGCATTCCTTACCTCTAAAGCAAAGGTGCTGGTGGCAGGATTTGAAACAAACAGCAAAGAAAAAAAGAGGGACTAATTTCTTTTAGGTCTCAGCTGAAAAGGATAGTAGTGCAGCCCAAATGCTGTTTGCTTCTGAGCACACCCACTGCAGCTGCAGTCACTCTGCCTGGTTTGCAGGGGACAGTCTACAACAGCAGTTGCTGCTGCTGTTTCAAAAGCTGCCATGCCTTTCCTGACAAAGGTCCTGCTCTGCTCCTGTTGCAGCAGCAGGCTCTTCCTCTCAGTGGCACTGTGTTCTGCCATTACTCCCCATTCCCCTGCAAAGGGAATTTTTACAGCTGTTTCCTTGCTTGTGTGATGAAATCACATCACTCATTTTTGCCCCCCTGTTTCTGTTTTCTCTCGCAGTGCCTGCAAGGACTGGATTTTCTTCACTCCAACCATGTGATCCATCGAGATGTGAAGAGCTGCAACATCCTTCTCAGAACGGACGGCTCTGTCAAGCTGGGTCAGTGTATTCTTGGTCAGGTTCAGCCTCCCAGGGATGTGGGGTGTGGGGCTGCTTTCAGTGACTGCCAGCTCCCCAAAAATGGTGCTGCTGGCAGTGCAGTGGCCCCTGCTGTGAGCTGAAGGCACAGTTGTGATGTGCACAGAGGTATGACAAGGTACCACAAGCACTCAAGAGTGGTATTGCTGTGTGTGTGTGTGTGTGTGTTTGTGTGTGTCCCTTCGAGAGTGAGGGAGCTACAATCTAAACCTTCAGGGCAACAAAAAATGCTGCTGGAGGAAGTGTGAAAACTGTGGGGATGTTTTAAGTAGCCAGTGCCATATTTCCTTGGATAAACCCCATGGAAACAGAGCAGGGACTGCTGTCCAGGAAATGCAACAGCACATTCTCCAACTTCTACTGGGCAATTCTTTAGGTTGGTTTCCTAATTGACAGGATCCAAATAAAACTAGTATTTTTCTTTCTCCTCAGCTGATTTTGGCCTTTCTGCTCAGCTCACCCCTGAGCAAAGTCATCGTCGCTCGGTGGCTGGGACTCCTTGGTGGATGGCACCTGAAGTGGTGCTGTGTCTACCATATGGCCCCAAAGTGGACATATGGTCTTTTGGAATTGTGGGAATTGAAATGGTGGAACGACAAGTCCCTCATGACAGTAGAAGTTCTCTCTCGGTAAGGTGCAAATACTCTCTGATCCTGCTCTCTTTCTCACCTGTCCCATGTTCTCTGTGCCATTGGACAAAATGCCATTGCCATCTGCTGCAAGTACTTCCACCGTGGCCCCCTTCTAGAAATGTCCCTGCAGCACATCAGCATCTGCTGCAGGTTTGGTTGCATCAGTGGGGCAATTCAAGCCTTACCCCACGCAAACAATCTCCATTCTCAGGCAACGTTTTGCTGTGGGTTATCGTTCCAGCTCTTCTGGCTGTGTAGATGGCCCTAATAACAGGAAACAAGCACCTCAGAACTGGTGTTATTTTTCCAGCAATGAAGGAAAGAAACTCAAACCAAACAAAGTTTCTAAAATAGTGGTTTTGAGAGAAGAAGTACATCCCCCATTCTTCTCACGGGGAAACTTGCCTGCAACCTGGAGAGGATGGTTTAAAGGCACAGAGTCCCTGCTGCTTCTTGTGCCGTGCTGCTGAAACACTTAGTGACCATATTTGTTCATAAGCCAAGCCACTTTCTCCATATCACCAAGCTGGAGCCTGGTGATGGGGAGAGCCTGCCAAAACCTCCAGTTTGTTTCCTGCCACTTTCTGGGATGGGCCCAGTGTTTATGCATTGACTTGAGTATCCAACGAGCAGAGGCTTAGCAAAGGGATGACGCTTCTCTTTCTTCAGATTTCACCAGGAATGTTTTCCTATTTCCACATAAGGGAACCTGAAATTTTCAGACTGCAGAGAGACAAAGCTGCAGGCGGCTCCTGTGTGCCCAAAAAGGCATTTTTATCTCAATACATTTGGGGAGCCATCTTAATGTATCTCTGTTGAATAGGGGATCCCAAATGTTTGTTTCCTTACCTGAAAAGTACCTGGGGGATTTCCTTTCTTTTCTTCCAATTACCATTGTTTTCAACAACAGGACAAAAAGCTTGATGAGTTTTGTTTTATGGCAGCTGTGCTTGAGGGACCGACAAGCACTGCAGAGATGCCCTTCATGTAATGATACTTGGAAAGAGTAGAGTTAGTTAGAATAGCAAAATCCCTCTTCCAAGAAGCCTGTCAAGCTGGTGTGAATCCTCAGAGAAGAAAACATGCATTTTCATGTCTTTATTTTCCCACTAACTAGATCAGTCCATGAAATCAGCTGCCAAAGCCAGACCTGCAGGATGTTGGAAAAGCTGGGGCTGCTTTGGGGCTTGTGTTTTTTGATGATACAGGGAAGTCATCTCTGCCTCTCTGCCAGGGCAAAATCTGCCACTGCAGAGTGGAGCTGAAACAATGGGCTCTGGGAGAGCAGTTGCAGATGGGAAAGAAGCAGGTGGAGCCTTGTGTTTCTGTTTGCTCCAGGTTCAACTCCTGATAGCCAAAGGAGGGACCCCACAGCTGCGGCAGCCCAAACTCCTCTCAGCTTTGCTGCGTGACTTCCTGAGCTGCTGCCTGCAGACAGACGAGGCACAGCGCTGGTCTGCTGAGGAGCTCCTGCAGGTAAAATGCCAAGGGGCTGCAGGTGAAACAGTGGCTGAGGGATGGTGGCTCCTTCTCCGCTGAATTCCAAGGCATCAGATGTGCCCCCCTCCTCCTCACCTCCAATCTTGGTGCTGTTCAACTGAGAATGGTGAGGAATCCTAGACTGGGCAGGGCTGGCAGGGACCTGTAAAGCTCATGTGGTCCGAGTGCCCTGCAGGGAGCAGGGACCTCCTTAAAGAGAACAGGATACTCAGACCTGAGCTATTTCCAGGGGTGGGGCACCTACCAGCTCTTGGGCCAACCTATGCCACTGCTGCCCCATGCTCCTTAAACCTACTCTGACTCAATCGCCCTTGCATTTAAAAAATATTCCCCTGCCTTTGAAGCTCTTAGCTTGGAAAATCATACTTTCTTCTTGTTTTCTTTTCCTTTCTACAGCATCAATTTGTAACATCGGCCAAGCCTGGCTCCAGCCTGGTGCCACTCATCCTTTCAGTGAAGCAGTGGAAGGAGAGAAGGATAATGTTCTAATCCATTTAGAACAGTTTTCGCCATGGCCATCTTAGAATAGAATTGTAGAGTAGGAATTTAGAGAAGGATTGTAGAGTAGGAGTGTAGAGTAGGATTGTAGAGTAGGAATGTAGACAAGGATTGTAGAGCAGGATTATAGAGTAGGATTTTAAATCAATAAAGATTATGACACCTCAACTCCTTTGGATGATTCCCTCCCTTCTGACCCTTTGAGAAAGCTCAACATTTCCTTCTGAACTGCCAGTTTTTCCTTAGAGGTGAAAAGTGACATTGATGGCTTCTTTGGTATTGTTTGTAAGTGGGGAAAGCTCTTCTTCATGCATCTGCTCCAGATCACACTGCCTTTGGAATATGGCCCAGTGGCCAGGTTTTGCCCAGCTGTGGAATTTCCAGTTGAGGCAGAAACAGCAATGGCATTCGCAGGAAAAACCAAAGGAGGAGTGGTGCAACGCAAACATTCCGTGCAGTTGCAGGCTGTGCAGATGTGACTTGAGAGTATTTGGGTTCCTGACACTTAGATTTGTGTCTCAAATGCAATCTCTTTGGCTGGAGGAGAGTCTTGCTCAAGTGAGAAAGCAGAAAGATCAGTGAGGGTGCTCTGCAAGGTCTCCTCTGGTACAGAGCTGTCAGCGACTGGGAGGTGAGAGCGGGCCCGACCTTGGCCAGGCTGGAGCCCCAGCAGAGCCCTGGCAGAGCCCGGAGCAGCCTGAGCCTCGGCAGAGACAGGCTGGAAGGAGGCCCTTGGAGCGGCAAGAAGCAGCAGCCCGGCCCTGGGTGCCTCTTGCTGGGAGAGGGCAAATCCTCCACTCTCAGAGCCAAGCTGGCAGCTGGCTGCTCCTGAGGGGAAGCGTAGCCGTGCTGGGCACAGCACACACTGGTGCCATTGGCCATCTGGAGTCTGCACAGGAGGAGAGAAAGGCAAACAGCAGCTGAGGGCTGGTGCCCTGGCTGACCATTCCTGCTCTTCTGCCAGCTGCCCTGGAATTGCTGGCAATGGTCAGCAGTGTGTGCAGCACTCTGGCACAGGGGGAGGGAGCCGGGCTGCTCCGCAGGCTCCAGCACAGGGCAGTGTCCTTCAGGCATGGCATTTCTGCCACGGGAAGCGAGGCCAGCATGAGGCAGTGACAGCAAGTCAGGTCAGATGTGCAGGAGCCAATGCCTCACACAGCTCTGGGACAAAGTGCCTGCAGTCCTGGAGCTCTGCACTGAGCCACAGCAAAGGTGTGAAATGCAGTGTGTTTTGCAGAAATATTCAGGGCACGAGGCCAGCCTGCTTTGTGCTCTCTGGAGCACAGCAAGCACTGTGCAATGCAGCTGGGAGCTGCTGGGAGAGAGAGAGAGAGAGTGAGGATGTGCCTGAGGCTTCTCCTTCAGTAGTGATTTGGAAGGGAGCAAAGAAGGGACCTGAGAAGGGTCTCAGTAGGCAATTTGTGTTTTCTTCCTTCATTTCTGAATGAAAGACACAATGTGGCTTCATGCAGCAAGAGCACTTGCAGAACTTCTTGACTATAAGCTTGTGTTTGATTCCCAGAAAAGGAAGGAGAGGTGTTAGGAAAATGTTGACGTGTAAACAATAGGGCTTAATCTTGTGAATTCTGTTAATTTTAACAAACAGTGCTGAGGCCTGTATTCCTCCACTTCAGAGATTAATGTGTGCAAGTGACTATCTTAGCCTTGAGAATAAAGAGAGTGGTCCTGTTAAGAAGGTAGCTGGGAGGCATTCAAGAGAACAAAGTGGTTTTAGGAGTCTCTTGACATTCAGAGGAGAAGATGAGGAATGGGTGTTTCCAAAAGACTGTGTCAGGGACCCGAGTCAGGTTTGAGGCCCTGCCATATTTGATCCATGTTTGAGCAGGTCAAGAAGACAATAGAGAAAACTGTATCGTTTAAAGGGTGGGAACTTGACCCTTGCAAGAGAAACAATGGATAGGTCAGTGGGTGGGCAGTTAACTTTTGAAAGAGGAACAGTGCATAATGGAGGCATTGTTGGCATGGAGTCGGTATTCTGAGCCATCGTGGTCTCATCTCACGTGCCGGCCATGTGGGAGCTGATGCTGTCAATGGGAAAATTGCACTCCTGAGCAGGAGATCTAAGGCCTGGCTCTGGCTTGGAGGGGTGAGAAGGGCAGATGGATTTGATGCTGGGGATGTCCTGAAATTGCACTGCCTTCCTGCCCCTGCCACCGAGTACCATGCTTCATCTCCTTCTCCTGTTCAACAGGTTTCTGGGAATCCAGGGGTTGGTATGTATTATTTGCTACTGCAACTAATAGAATAAATGTGCTTTGCAACCCCAGTTGTGTCTTGACTTCTTTTCTACATGGGTCTCCTCCTGAAGCTATGACAATGACTACCAGAGAGCCTCAGGTCAACCCTACTCTCATGTCAATAAATTCTGAGAGGTGATTTAAATATGTCAAATAATCCGGGGAAAGGTTTAGTCTGTGAATTTCAGCAAAGTATTGAATATGTCTTTGTTCCAAAAATACAAACTAGTAGGTGAGCTTGCTGGGAGTGCACCTTTTCAGGAAGGGATTCCCCACACACCCAGCACTGGAATAAAGTAATGCCTTCTTTCTAATCCTCAGCTGGCCGTGGGGATCAGGCCCTGCTTGGTAGGAAATCACTCTAATTTTTCTCTTGAAGCATTGAGAAATGTATGTTGAGGATTGATTTTAAGCACAAGGACTTCATATGCACAGAGGTTAAGTGTGTTACAGGACAGTGGCATGACTGGCATCTGTTCCCCCTTCTAATTTCCTTTTTGCTTATTTTATTCTTTTCCATGGATATTTTTGGCTGCTAAACTGAATCTGTTGAAAACAGGTTTTGTAAACAGGTTTTGTAAATCTGTGTATAAGAGAAGCATAGGAGTACAGTAGCAGTAGAGCAGGGAAGCTGAGAAGCCAGGTCATAAATTCTTCATATCCTTCAGGATGCAAACATTTTCTGCAGCATTTGTTAGTTCACAATAGAAAGGGTAGGATTAAGAAGCAATGGAGTTACTGTTAATTTATGACATCAGAGAAAGCCTGTAGTTCTGTCACAACACTATGAGTAGATCTTTTCATTCCAGAGGAATGCCTATGCATCACTATGTTCTTTAGTGTCTCCAAATATCTAAAGAATGACATCATTTTCCCTCCTATTAAGTAGGAGAAGAAAGCCTGCTGCAACAATCTGCAGAACACCTTTGTTAGTGTGCTCATATTGTATTTTTCCCCATCAGGAATAAAGAGAGGGAGATAGAGCATGTCTCTACGGTACTGATGGCCAGGGAAGAAAGGCAGAGGGGTCAACAGCCTTTCATGGGCTTTGAGCAAAAAACCTCACTAGCAGAAGTGACATTTTTGGGAA